AAAAAAAAAAAAAAAAAAAAAAAAGGCTGTCAGAGAAGTCTAGGACATTTCAAGGATAACATTTCAATGGATAAAGTGCACTTTATTGATGCACTTTTCTTCCATTTTCTCCTTCCCACAACACAGTTCCATCCCTTCCCCTTCTGCATCTCCATGGCATCTTGTTTGATCTTTTAAGGATATTTATTTGATCTCACTTTGCAGCAACACATACACTGGCAATCACAACCTGGCTGCATCTACTTAGACTGTAAACTCTATGAGGGTAGAGTCAGTGTTGTGGAAAAACTTCATCCTCCACTAAATTTTTCATGTTTGTTGGATGAATGACTAAATAAATAAGAAACTATGAATAACTAGAGTGACTCCCCCCACCCCAAAAGCCCATTTTTACCTGCTGTTTATAAAAACATTTTGTTACAAAAATGTCTTTGAAAACCTGACATTAATGCTTGAGTAAAACAAAATAAAAAAATAAAAACGAACTTTGCCTTCCATGAAATTGTCCTAAAGGAAGGCCAGAGAGGAGCTGGAGATTGCCCCTCACGCATGGCATTTCAGTGTGCTTGGCTTCCAGGTTGGTAACAGTGTGCCTGCTCAGAATCATGCCTTGTTGGAAATGCACCCGATCTGAAATTGTCTTGTCCAAACTCAGGTGGAGAACTTTGCAGTCAAGGGAGGGTCTTGACCAAAGCCATTAAGCCAAACTAAACAGAGTAGTAAATGAAACAATGTGTCAAAGCCTTTCTGGAGAGCACCTGGTTTACAGCACTTCACTGGCAAATGACACAGTATCACCCACAGAAGATAAGGAGGCTGCTAAACTAATTTGTGACAAACTCAGCCCTGAAAAGTAACAAAAAACAAACCCTCAGGCTGTGCTTTGAAGGCTTTCTGTTTTCATGCAATCTAAACATGGAGGATTTCCTCTGCTTTAGAGCCCTGACTCCATAGGCAGAGGACAGACAGTTTCAATTGCAGGTATAAATGCTGCCTAAGAATACACTGGGAGACACAGGGGCCCGCTGTGAGCGTGAGATGCCTCTCCCTTCTTTTGAACATTCCTGTTACCAGGTGCAGACAAAGTCATTCCTGTAGCAGTTCAGAGGAACAAGCAAGGGTCCATTTTCTCTCAGGAAAGGGGAAACGGGCCTTTCCTTCCATTGCCATCTTGATACTAATTCATTAATGATTTTTTTCAAGCAGGTTTTATTCAGGTACTTTGGGACAGGGCAGTGAGTCAGAGGTTGGCATCAAAACCAGAATAGAAGCCATTGTTCTTCTCTTGGGATTCAATTTGGGGCTTCAAACTCTCAGATCACACAACTTCCTAATGGGAAAGAAATGTTCTTATACAAGGGCAGGAGCTTTGCTGGAGCCTGACAGTGACTAATAAGGTTGGTCTAAGGACTGTCTGGGGAAAAGGGAAGTTGGGTTTACATGCCACAGTGATTGTTAAAAAGTATTTTCACCCTGAGGTTTATAGCTGAATATGAATAAAATAGCTCTCCTTGGGCAATCCCATCCCAATTCCTGTAGGAATGCTTTCCTCAATTAAATTAACTTTGAAATGACATTCAAGTAGCACCTTCCTCCAGAAATGCCTTTGTTTTCTGCAAGATCTGCTTATTGAGGAGCGGATTTACAAGGTTTCTGTGTAAACTGATTATGTTTCCCAGCCCCAGCCCACAGACCAGTTGGAGGCCAGTTTTATTTCACCTCTACAGCAGAACTGGGTAGGTCTCACATTGTCTCCATTTAACTGTAGATCGGTGGCTTAGGCACTTCAATTTAAAGTTATCCAGGGTGCTTAATCAGTAACCAGGATAAATACAATGGGGCAATTCAAAGCTCATTTGCTGAAAAATCACACGACTAAGGTGGGGGAAAGGGATTGTTATTAGTCTCTTTCAAAATCCAGGACACGGCGTTCCTAACAGAAGCGGTCCTAGGTTTAAAAGCGTTAAGTTCGAAGTCGTTGCCCTCTAAAGGGAGCAGGCACACAGGCGCGTGCACGCACAGGTGGACACACACTCACACGCGCCCGCCCCTTCCGTGTGACTCGCCTTCGGGACCACGGATTAGTGTCAGGTGCAGAAAGTAATTCTGTGTTCTGTGGGCATCTTCCTCCCCTCGGATTCCACTATTATTTACCGGCCAGCTTGAGCGCGGGGCCCCGAAGGGCCGGCGAGGAGACCCCTCAGCACAGGGACACAAAGGCTCGGCGTGGCCAGCTCCTGCGACACGAGTAAAATTGGCCTAGACCTGTCTCCAACTGAGAGGCTCCTTTAAAAGACGTCCTGTCGTTTTCGTGAAGAAACCAGTCTTTTCATCAGCACGGACAAGAGCCTTGGCGCTGGGGCCCGGTAAGGGCCGAATTCTGAGCTGAGGCACAGCAGCCCCAGAGAAAGCCAATCGGCCTGGGACCGTCGAGCAAGGGGGACTCCTCGGACAGGGCACATTCCAGGCATGCTAGTGCAGCGAGGTGTGAGGCAGAGCCAGAGCGTCCCAGCCTTCTCCGCAGGAGAAACTGGACCCAGGCCCCTCTGCCCTCCCCAAGTGAGCGGGTGCAGTGCGCTTTGCTTTGCGGCCTTCCCACCCGCAAGGCCGGCGCCCGAACTCCGGTCACCTGCAGCCGCCGGCTGCAGTCGTGGCCGGTTCCAGGGCCACGAGCTGGAAAAGCAGCCGCCTGGGCGAAAAATGTAAGGGGGTGGGGCGCGACAAAAAGTCCAAGTAAGTATTTTACTGCAAAGCTTTAAGAAATACAAAAAACATAATGAACAACTTTTAAAATTTTATAAAGACAGGACCATCGCATTGCCTTACTGATACGTTGAGACCGCAGGCAAAAAGAAAGATCCCCACGGACAAGCGGCGCCACGCACAGACCACCGGACCTGGCTCGGAGTGCCGGGCACTGGGAGGGGAGCGCAGGTCGAAGTCCTCGG